GGAACTCCCAACGTGAGGCAAATGGGTGGTAAGCAAAACAAAAAGGTAAAAGAAAGAAACAGCGTCAGCGCTCACAGGTGGATGCTGCCTAATTACAGCCCAGAAGTCACTCTGCTCTCGAAATTTCAAAGTTTTAATTCCCTCTAATATGTTCAAATTTGTTTGTTCCCATAGCTCTCTTGCTCGGAGGGCAAAGTTCCTTTTTTCCTTTGGGGTTCTCTCTGTCCCCGTGGCCTCAAAATGAAGCTGTTGTTCTTGACCCTCCCGGAGATGGGTTGAATAATTGATCATAATTACGCAGCCTGGCAGGAAAGATGAAGAAAACAGCCTCACCTACTTCCAGGGTCCCTCTGAGGGTTGTTAAGGCGATTTTAATGAGTCCCAGAGCGTGATGCTCAACTTCTGCCTGTTGAGATGCCAACTGGCATCAAAAAGTTCACTCTGAAGATCTGGAAAACATGACTTGCCAATTGTGAGCTGCCAGGCTGGGCTGCTTGATTCAATGCTTATTAAAAAACAAAACTATCATCATTGCCTGTTTCTGATCGTGAAGCCTCAACCTTAAAGGAAATCAATGCTGACTATTCATTGGAAGGACTGATGCTGAAGCTCCAATACTTTGGCCACCTGATTGGAAGAGCTGACTCACCGGAAAAGACCTTGATGCTGGGAAAGATTGAGGACAGGAGAAGGGGACGACAGAGGATGGGATGGTAAAATAGCAACACTGGCTCGATGGACGTGAGTTTGAACACACTCCAGGACACAGCGGAGGACAGAGGAGCCTGACGTGCTGCAATCCATGGGGTCGCATGCGTGTCAGAGTCCAAGAGTCAGACCCAGCTTAGCCCTTGAACAACAGCAACAACAACAATATGTCATATTTTAGGTTCCACGCATTAAGTGATAGTGTATGGTATTTGTCTTTCTCAGTCTGACTTACTTCACTGTTTTGTGATCATCTCTGGGTCCATCCACGTTGCCACACATGGCATTATTTTGTCCTTTGCATGGCTGAGTAGTATTCCATTGTGTGTGTGTCTCACATCTTCTTTATCCATTCATTGAGACAAGCAGTCTTAAAACTTAGTGTCTTTGTGTTTCCTATTGTGTATATATATATAACATAAATATGCTTATACACATAATATATGCATATATATATACAGTATATATTATATATACTGTATATATACACATAATATATATATATATATAAGGTATATATATTATATATATAATACATGCATTATATATGCAAATACATATATACACAGACACACACATTACACACATGTATTTTTTAAATGCAGGACAATTAGGAGGAGCAGCAAAGAAACTTAAACACAAGAGTGACATGATCATGATTTCCTTTAAAAATTCAAAACAGCAGTTTTTGTAGGGACAGATGGCCCTGGAGGCCTGGACCAGCGGGGAGCCCACTGCCATGACCAAGGCGGTCCGTCTTTTCGATGAGCACGCCCCGAGTTAGGCAGGGGTGAAGACAAAAGTCTGAGCAGCATTCACAAACGTGTCTTGAGGGCCTCTGTTGCAGTTGGTGATAAAGAAAAGCAAGTCTAGAAAAGAAAAAAGAAAAGAAAAATAATTAAAAAAAAAAAGAAAAGCAAGCCAGGGTCCCAAGGGGCTCTCCCTGAAGGCAAACGAGCTGAAGGGCAGGTCTGAAGGAGGAATACTAAGTGCCCATTTTTATTCTCTTTTTATTTTTATTCTATTACCAGTATTTTCTAATTTTCCTTGTCACGGCTTCTTTGACATACCCCTCATTTAAAAGCGGACATTTAATTCCCAAATACATGGGATTTTTAAAGTGTCTTTGATATTAACTTCTCATTTTGATATTAATTTCTCATCTCAGTGCTTTCTCCTCTGCAATTGCCCTCTGCGGTTTTCCAGTCTCCTAACTTTATCGAGGCTTTCGATGGCAAAGTCAAAGATCTATCTTGGTAAATGGCACAATTCGCTTCGAAATAAGTGGGTTTTTTCCAAACATCTTGATATTGATTTCTAACATAATTACACAGTAATAAGAGAACACAGTACGTATGATTTCAGTATCTTTAGACCATGAAATTTCTGCACCTGCTCTTGTGTCCCTGGATGTGAGCCAGTGTCTCCTGGTTTACAGTCTAACTTGAATAGAATTTGTATCCTCCTGCTGCGTGAAAATTGTATAAATCTTAAATATGTCGAATTGGTTCATAATGCTTTTCAAGTCCACTATAGTTCACCTCTCTGTACATTCATTCTATTAATTTCTGAGAGTTTGACATTGAAACTCTGACTTAAAAAAAATCTTAATTTATCTACTTAAAACAAACAATTGTAACAAGTAGTGGAACTATATGTAACTTTGTTCTGTGTTTTCCAAATCTCATGTAACTATATTATCATATTTTCATAATTTTAAAAAGAGAAAATAAAGACAAAAAGCAAAAAAAATTATATAACGGGACAATATGTGACTTTGTTTTGTATTTCCCAAGTCTCCTGCAAACCTGTTATCTTATTTTCACAACAGAAAAAAGAAAAGCAAAGACAGCCCATTTTCAGTGGTCAGTGAGCAGGCCGGTGGGAAGGACATCCAGGGAGACAACCAGAGGAGCTCACGGGTAGCTTGGTTTTGGGGTCTGGAGTAGACAGCGGGCTTGACCGCTGTCTGCAGGGGGGTTCATGAGCCCCAGGTAGTGGAGAGGGTAGGGGGGAGAGAGCCCCGTATCTGGGTGAGGTCTGCAGGAAGGACTAAACAGAGGAGGGGACCCAGGATACTGCCGGAGGCCACGGCAATCAGGGGGTGAAGGAAGGGGGCAGCAACGGAGACATTCGGGGCAGTGAGATGGTGACTCCAGCAAGGGGTGACTCATCGGGGCCAGCGGGTCAGCTGGGGCTGACCCCCATGTCCTCAAGAGAATTTACGGGGAGGTTACGGAACACTTGCTCCTGGGACGTGAACTTCAGAGTCCCTCCAGTGCCTCCAGATCAAAGATGTGCAGAAACCAGACGCCCACTGGCCTCAGACGCCTGGAGACCTGGCTGTCTTCCACCCTGGATCTTCCCGCCCACCACAGCCACATCTTCCTAAATGTGGGGGACTCCGCGAGCCTCTGGCACGTTTGGAGAGCTCTGTCACCCTTAGGGAGTCACGGGGGTGCAGTTCGGGGCAGTCGACCCCTCCTTTTCTATTAGAAGTCATTTCTACTAGAAATTAAGTAAGCAACTCTAAGTAAACAACAATAAATGTTCAGAATACCTTTTCCTAGTTTTTTTTGTACTTGATTTGTGGTTTTGCAGAAGTAAGAAATATTATGAGGACTCTTCCCTGGGTGCTCAGATGGTAAAGAATTCACCTGCAATGTGGGAGGTCTGGGTTGGGAAGACCCCCTTGGAGAAGGGAAGGGCTACCCACTCCAGGGTTCTTTTCTCTCTCTCTTTTTTTTTTTTTCTCTCTCTCTTTTTTTTCCTCCAGTGTTCTTGCCTGGAGAATCCCATGGACAGAGGAGGCTGGTGGGCTAAAGTCCATAGGGTTGCAGAGCTGGTCACGACTCAGTGACTGACACTTTTGTGTATATGTCAGTCCCAATCTGAAATTATTCCTCCTCGCTTCCTGTCTGGTAACCATACGTTTGTTTTTTACAACTGTGGTTCCATTTCTATTTTGTAGGTAAATTCATTTTTTTTAAGATTCCATGTGTAAGTGATATTGTGTGATATTTGTCTTTCTCTGTCTAAATTACTTCACTCAGCATGACAATCTCCAGCTCCATCCTGAAAGCCCTTTGGCCAAAACACAATTTTTTAAAAACTTATGCTTACAAAGCAGTGGTTGTCAAATAGTTGAAGGCTTGGAGACATGATCAATATACTGTGCGTGAAAGTAAAGGACTTTGAATACTTCATGCATGAAATAATCTTTTTTTCTTTTTTTGACTTTTTTTTTTCCTGCCGTGTGACCTGTGAGATCTTAGTTCCTGACTTAGTTCCAGATCTTAGTTCCTGACCAGGGATCCAACCCCTGGTCTCGGCAGTGAAAGTGTTGAGTCCTGACCACTGGATTGCCAAGGAATTCCCCAAAATCACTTCTTAAGAGATGTACGGGTAACAGATCATTCACTGTTGTTGTTCAGTTGCTAAGTTGTGTCTGACTTTTTGAGACCCCATGGACTGTAGCCCACCAGGCTCCTCTGTCCATGGACTTTCCAGGCAAGAATACTGGAGTGGGTTGCATTTCCTTCTCCAGGGGACCTTCCCAACCCAGGGAATGAAACTGTGTCTCCTGCATTGGCAGGCATATTCTTCACCAGTGAGCCACCCACCAGGGAAGCCCTCAGAATATTTTTTAAAGCCACTTGTAGGTCACGGGTCCCATACAAACAGGAGATGGGAGTCATAGGATGACAAGGATCAGGCTCAGCGTAAAATTATTCTAAAATGTTGTTTTAGGATAGATAAGCAGGGACTTCGTTGGTGGCCCAGTGGCTAAGACTCCGAGCTCCCAATGTCGGGGACTCAAGTTCGATCCCTGCTCGGGGAACTAGATCCCACATGCCACAACTAAGACCCCGGACAGCTAAATCAGTTCAGTTCAGTTAACTCGGTCCTGTCCGACTCTTTGCGACCCCCATGGACTGCAGCACGCCAGGCTTCCCTGTCCATCACCAACTCCCAGAGCTTGCTAAATAAATAAATAAATAAATTTGAAAAGTATCTGATGCACTGAACTCTTTTCCAGGTAACTTAAAAAAAAAAAAAGATGAATAAGCAGATGCCGGTGGGAAGAAGCAGTCTGTGTGTCAGCCCCTGGTGTCGTGGGCACAGAGTGGACACCTGCAGCCTCCGGGCGGCCGGAGGGTGTGTGTGGGCAGTTAGCTTCGCCCTTGGAATCTGGGAGAACAGCGAGTGACCAGAGTCCCGTTGGTCCTGGAAGGAGCTCGTCCACCCCAGCCCCCAAGCCCACTGTCCACAAGTCAGGGCCCTCTCTGAAGATGTTACTGCTGATTCTACTTTTCCTGGGACTGGCAGACGCTGCCTGCATCCCCCGGGAAGGTAAGCCCAGCTCCTCCTGCCGTCTCCCCCTCCTCCGTTTCTTCTTACCACGGGCGGGGGCCCGGTGGCTGGAGTGAGCCTCCTCGGGTCCAAGTCCAGGTTCCTTCCCGCTCCCCGTTTAGAAATTCCCACTTCCCCTTCCCCTTGGTGGAGATGGAGGGGTGGGCGAGTCCTGGGAACCATGGCTCCTGCCCCTGGAGACACATAGACTTGCATCTGAACCCCGGTTAAATCACCAACTCCTAAGGTGGCAAGGTAGTAAAAAGAATCCACCCCCCAAACTGGAGTTTCTGGAGACGCCAGAAACTCGGGTTCAAAGCCTGGGTCGAGAAGATTCCCCTGGAGGAGGAAATGGCAACCCACTCCAGTACTCTTGCCTGGGAAATCACGTGGACAGAGGAGCCTGGTGGGCTACAGTCCATGGGGTCGCAACGAGTGGGACACGACTGAGCACTCACAACAATCTGTGACGGGGGTGGGAGTGATCGCCCCGCAGAAGTGGTGCTATTCTGTCCTCTGTACGCTTTATCAGAGATGATGTGTTGGCGAAGTGTCTTCTTACACGTGATGTTAAGTTTGACCACTGACCAGCTGCTATTTTCCCCTTTGTAATTAATAGATAATCTGGCTGAGATCACTGGGAACTTCACAGATATTCTAGTCCTCCTCAGACTTTCCCCCCACGAATTGCAGCATCCATCTGTGGATCTCATCTGCCAAACTGATTGTTGTAGTATTTGCATGATCGTGATTTTCTATTACTCTTATTCCTGCTACATGTATCAGTTGGAACGCTTCTGTAAGGAAGACTCAATGCTTCTGCTCTATTTATTTATTCAAGTAATTGTATCAATATGAATGCATGGATATTTATTTTATCAACAAAAAGTAACAGCTTATCTTTTGATGGGTAGAAGGGTGATGGCCACGAGTTCTCTTTTGGATATGCTAAGTGTGAAGGGCCTGTAATATGTGCAAGACCTCCATGGGTCACAGGTTCCATGAGAGCAGGGTTTGTGATGTCTTATTTTCTCCTGTACCAGCATCTCTCTCCCCACCAGTGTCACAAATACCTACAGAGCAGGAATTGAGTCTAATTCCCCTGTGGCCCCAGCATCGAGCACAGACCAGTGGGCAGTATATGTGGCTGGTGAATGTTGGATGGATGGATGATGCATGGATAATGGATGGATGACAGGTGGATGATGGCTAGATGGATAAATTGATGGATGATGAATGGATGGATGACAGGTGGATGATGGCTAGATGGATAAATTGATGGATGATGAATGGTTGGATGGGTGGATAAAAGAATAGATGGATAGTGAATGGGTGGATGCATGGATGAAAGGATGGATGGATGGTGAATGGGTGGATGGATGGATGGATGGATGGAAGGATGGATGGTGAATAGGTCGATGGATGGATGGAAGGATGGATGGATGGTGAATGGGTAGATGGAAGGATGGACGGATGGATGGATGGATGGACGGTGAATGGGTGAGTGCATGAATGGGTGGATGGATGGAAGGAAGGATGGATGGTGAATGGGTGAATGGGTGGAAGGAAGGATGGATGGATGATGAATGAATGGCAGTATGGTTGGATGATGAAAGGATGATGGTTAGATGAATAAATCAATGGATGGTGAACAAGTAAATGGATGGATGGATGGATAGATGGATAATGGATGGCTAGAAGGATGAGTCGGCTTAAGTAGCTTCACCGATAGACTGGATGGGTTAGTGCGTCTCCAGTGACACGTTCAGCTCTGGACCCCTTGGGCACTGCATTGATCTGAGTCTAATGCTGAATTCTCTCCCTGCGCCCTGCTCCCTTCTTCCTGTTCCTGCTGGGATCCGGATGGCCTAACACTTTCACCTCCAGTTGCAACTGAAGAAAAAAGTAAGAACTGTGGACATCCCAAGTCTGTACTCCCATAGCCAGTTCCTCTCAGATTCGTGTAGATTTTAAGACCGCTCTGGGGATTCTAGAGCAAAGTGGGTTTCGTCTTGGGGGCCAGGGCATTGTGAGTAAAAGCAAGCCATCGACATCTCTGTCTTCTAGTGACGCCTGCTACTCAAAGGGCTGTTCATCCATCCTTTTGTCTGGGGAAGACAGGCTCAGTGGGTGAATGGAGAGCTCTCATCAAAAAGAAAGAATGGTTGGAATATTTCCACTAGAGTTATATTCTGACACACACACACTCATATAAATAAAATCTATCTGTAGGATTCATTTATAACACTGTAATGCTAAAGATGGGTCCTCCGAACTTATGGCTGCTGGGGGAAGAATGAGGGGGAGGGACAGTTAGGGAGTTTGGAGGAACATGGACACACGGCTGTATTTAAAATGCGTAACCAACAAGGACCTGCTGCGGAGCACAGGGAAGTCTTCTCAGTGTCACGTGCAGCCTGGACGGGAGCGGGGCTTGGGAGAGAGTGGGCACGTGTATGCATGCCTGAGCCCTTCACTGCTACCTGAAAATATCACTACATGGTTAACTGGCTGTACCCCAATAAAAAATTAAAAGTTTAAAAAAAAGAAGTAGAGCTCTCAGCATCCTTACCAAGAGTGTAACCAGGCCGTTTGATCTTTGTCTAATGATACAAGACAAACTATGCACAAACAGCCTCTCGTGAAACCCCTCCCCCTGTGAAAACAGGCTGAGCACACACACAGAGTGGCTCTTAGAACAAGACAGGGCTTCTTATCCTGGGGCCCCATCTTATCTTGGGCTTCCTTGGTGCCTAAGCTGGTAAAGAATCCGCCTGCAATGCGGGAGACCTGGGTTCGATCCCTGGGTTGGCAAGAACCCCTGGAGAAGGGAAAGGCTACCCACCCCAGTATTCTAGCCTGGAGAATTCCATGGACTCTATAGTCCAAGGGGTTGCAAAGAGTCAGACACGACTGAGCGACTTTCACTTTCAACTGAAGGAAGAAAGGCGTGCATGCGGAAATCATCTGAGGTGGATAAATTACTGTTAATTCAAACTTCTCTCTTGCTTTTATCTTCCATGTTGATCCCCTGACTCCTGGTCCTGTTGTCCTTTTCCAGTCAAATGTAAGTCTGATCTCCTTCTGACTATGTAACTAGGGAGCCCTTCAACCGGAGGAGGAAGGGCACAGGGGACAGGGGGATGGCTGTCTGTCATCTTCAACCTGGGCCGCTCACAGGATGCTCTCAATCTCAGCGTGGCTCCAAACTCAGAGCCTGCAGATCCCCGGGGCCAACCAGATGGACTTCGGGGAGGTCGACCAGCCTCTGTAATCTTGTGCAAAACTGGGTGTGAGAATCTCGGTGGTTTCCTGGGAATATGGACTTCATAGCTGCGATCGGATTTTCAGTAGGACCTTGTGCACTAACACGTACAAGCGGACTGGACTGCATTGTGTGGATTCATTGGTGGGTTGTAGATGAGAGAAATAGGGTGCAGACTGGCCACGGCTCCCTCCTTGCCAAGTATTAACCATCCTGGTCTCTGACTACTGGTTGCTATGGAGACCCTCATCTGCCGCCCTCTGGAGACTCAGGTGTAAGGGGGTGGGTGGTTGGATGCCCCAGACCATGGTATCTCAGGGTTTCTTGACCCCTGGGATAAATGTGTCTCAAGAAGGCAGTGGCACCCCACTCCAGTACTCTTGCCTGGAAAATCCCATGGACGGAGGGGCCTGGTGGGCTGCAGTCCATGGGGTCGCTAAGAGTTGGACACGACTGAGCGGCTTCACTTTCACTTTTCACTTTCATGCATTGGAGAAGGAAATGGCAACCCACTCCAGTGTTCTTGCCTGGAGAATCCCAGGGACGGCGGAGCCTGGTGAGCTGCCGTCTATGGGGTCGCACAGAGTCGGACACGACTGAAGCGACTTAGCAGCAGCCGCAGCAAAGAGGCCTATGGGCTTCCCTGATGGCTCAGGGGTAAAGAAAGACTTGGGTTCGATCCCTGGGCCGGGAAGATCCCCTGGAGAAGGAGATGGCAACCCACTTCAGTCTTCTTGCTTAGGGAATCTCAGGGACAGAGGGGCCTGGCAGTTTACAGTCCATGGGGTCGCAGAGTCGGACATGACTGAATGACTGAGCACACACAGAGAGGTCTATGGTTCTTAGAACGAGGCACAGCTTCTCATTCCGGGGCCCCATCCTGTCCTGAGACCCGGGGGATGCAATGGGGTATAAAGGATGAATTAATGGATTTCACCTTCTCTCTGATCCCCACCGGCTGCCTTTGATCCGCTCCTTCCTGCTGTCTGCACGGACAACAGTGCTGAAAGGTAACATTTTTGTTCCCTCTCTCTCGCTTTGGGCTCTGATCGCCCTTGGCTGACGGGGTAATTTTTGCCTGCCTTTCAAGGATCTTTCTTCTTGTGACTGTCCATAGCCCAGCTTCTAATCTAGAGACATTAAAAGTCGAGACTGGATATCTTGATGAAAAGAAAATAGTGCATCTCTCTCTCCTCCCGTAAAAACTAGTTGATCAGAAATTGAGCACATTTCTGTGGTCCTCTTGTGACTAAAGGAAAGCCGTTTGGTTGTAGAGCTAAATTCAGGTCTATCTGAGATCTGTGGAGGAGGACACGGCAACCCACTCCAGTATTCTTGTCTGGAGAATCCCATGGACAGAGGAGCATGGTGGGCTACAGTCCATGGGGTCACCAAGAGTTGGACATGACTGAAGTGACTTAGCACACATAATTCTTCCTTTTTCTGCCTCCATACCCCTCGCCATGAACATACCTGCAATCACCTCTATGTAAGCTTGTTATTATTATCCGTATATAGACAACTTAACCCCAACCCTGCAATGGATATTAATATCCTCACCTGTGGGTGAGGAAACAGAACTTTATAGAGGAAGTTGGAAACGTCTGAGTTTGAATTTTTGCGCTTTCATTCATCCATTGTGTGGGGCTTCAAAAATTAATACAATATCTCGGAGCTGCAGCTATTCTCATTGACAACATGAAGACAATTCTCTAACCTTAGAGGGTTGGAGTGAAATCAGTAGAAGGAAAGAGCACTGGGCTTTTTCCTAGAGTCAGTGAAGAACAGTTTCTTTCTCTCTTTCCTACCTGGCTGAAGAGTGGCCCATGAATGTGTCCCCCACCCCCCCCCCCCCACCGCCATCCCCACTCATGTAAATCTCCCCGAAATCAAACACAAAGCCATTCTCAATAATCTCACCTAGCTGCTCCCTGCGCCCACGGTGGACTCTGTTTCCAAGCCTGTCCCAGCTCCCAGCATCTGATCTTACTTTTGGTTCTCTCCTCACGGCTTCCTCTCCGTGGTCTCTGGTCCCACCGCTCTGTACCACGTCTGTATCCTCCACCGCCATGCCGACTCTGGATCGACTGCTCTCAGGAATTGTAGGTAAATACCTCGCCACATTCAAGATGCCCTCAGACTGTGAACTGTGAGGGGAAACTCTGAGCAAGATTATCTGGGCATTTGACATATGTCTGGAGCCATGCTTGGGTGACGGAAACCCAAAGATGGATCATGTATGCTCACTCTTAAGGAGCTCAGAGACTGATGGAGAACACACACACACACAGAACCCAGAAATTAGATTAGAGACACTGATGCCTGCTAGTGGTGATGGGGCTGAAAAAAGGGATGATGGGAGTAATGAGGAAACCCTAAGTCACGCCCGAGCTCTCATAGCCATACTTTCCAAAGAAGAGAGCTTCTTAAATCCGTTGAACTGGGGAAACCCACTAATTAGGTATATTTCCTTCTGTTGCATTTGCACGTCTTTCGTTGTGTCTTCTTCTCCAGGTATGATGAGCAGGCTGTCGGCAGATGGTAAGTGTGGGAATTCTGTCTTTTCTCGTGTTTCTCTTCCCTTGTCTATAAAGTAATGTAGATTTATGGAGTTTTGTGTTTTTAGTTATTTATTTAAATTCAGTGTTTTGTTTATTTATGTTTTCTTTGTTTATTTCGGAAGAACCATTCAGACAGTATCTGATCACATTTTGTCTCTTAGAATTTTAAGGTAATGGAAATTTTTATTAGTGTGGAATGAGAGCACTAGAATTTTGCATTAGAAATATCACGTGGTAGATTTTTTTAAGTTATAAAAGATATATGCACACGAGAAAAGTTGTAGGAACATAAAATGAGAGTCAAAAATCTTCCCCTCTATCCTATTCCCAGTTCTACTGTCTTGGAACAGCCACTGCTACTAGTCTCCTGTGTATTCTTACAAAAAATACGCTTAGACACGTATATCTTCAACTTTTTGAGGTCAAGACTCAAATGACTGGGTCAAAGAGAAGAGGCCTTTTAAATTTGACAGAAGTTTAACAAACTTACAGTTCCATAAACCACCTACAGAATGCTAATTTTCCCACCCCTTCAGCAACATGGGGAAGCATCTAGCTTTCTGATTTTTCAAAATGGGATGGCTGAAAAAACTTGTCCCCAAGTTCAAAGGTAGAGAGGCTGAACCCCAACAGAAGTTCCTGCTATATCTACTACTATCCAGTCCAATGCTATCGTTTATATTTTCCTGTAAAGGACTCCACTTTAAAAGGACTTCCTTTATTTAAAAGCTTAAATAGATAAACTTGCAAAGAAAGCCTTACATCCCTTTAGTCAGTGAAAAGTCAGTAACATTTCTTCTAAGAAGATGCAATGCAAAGAAATAGAGAAAAACAACAGAATGGGAAAGACTAGAGGAGAAGGAAATGGCAAACCACTCCAGTATTCTTGCCTAGAAAATTCCATGGACAGAGGAACCTGGTGGGCTACAGTCTATGGGGTTGCAAGAGTCAGACACGACTTAGCGACTAAGCCACAGAGATCTCTTCAAGAAAACTGAAGATACCAAGGGAACATTTCATGCAAGGATGGGCACAATAAAGGACGGAAATGTCAAGGACCTAACAGAAAGCAGATGAGATTAAGAAGAGGAGGCAAGAAAACACAGAACTGTACAAAAAAAAGTCTTAATGACCCAGATAACCACGATGGTGTGGTCACTCACCTAGAGCCAGACATCCTGGAGTGTGTAGTCAAGTGGGTCTTAGGAAGCATTACTATGAAAAAAGCTAGTGGAGATGTTGGAATTCCAGCTGAGCTATTTAAAGTAATAAAAGATGATGCTGTTAAAGTATTGCACTCAATGTGCCAGAAAATGTGAAAAATTCAGCAGTGGCCATAGGACTGGAAAAGGTCAGTTTTCATTCCAATCCCAAAGAAGGGCAATGCCAAAGAATGTTCCAAGAGGATAACTTCAAAAGTAGACATAATTAAACAATGGAAATAAGTATCATTTATAACGATACTGATAACTGCTGAGGGTCTTTGTCTGAAGACAGTTCTCTCTTCAGCGGAAAGGAAGACCAGAGAGCATTAGAGAGAGGTTCTGGACAAGTTAGCATCGTTTTGAGACTTTTTAGAAGAAAGAGAATTGTAAAGTGAATTCGATATTAGCTTACATATTCCCACCATGTGACTCCAAAGGAGTGAAAATAAATCTGTGTCCACCTGAGACCTTTCCAGCCGTCCCCAGGGGTTCCCGTCCCAGTGCAGAGGACTCGCCTGGATCTGGAGCTCCACGCAGACGGAAACGTGAACTGGACTTCCAGGGTGGATACACCTGGCCTTTCAAGCCAGCTCTGTTCTTTACCAGCATATGGGACCCTGGGGCAAGTCTGTTCTCTGCTCCCATAGAGTAGGGCTAGTAACCCACGTTATAAGGTGTGCTTCTTAATGTTATAATAAAATATGACATTCTATATGTTATAAAAAAATATATGATGTTATAATGAAATCTATGAAAAACTCAGGTATTGGGGAGCTGGTTAAAGTGGGCCCAGCTCCCTGCACCCCGTTTGTCCAGGGGTTCTGGAGTCCATAGCCCTCATCACTGCTTCGGCTCCTTCGAAGACAACAGTTTCTCACTTCTGTCCCCTGGGGTTCCTGAAGAGCTCTGTGCTTTCTCTGTGTCCCCATCAACCTAGAAGCAGAACCCTCCTTCCCTGGTTCCCGTGAGAAATCGGCTGAGACCTACGAGTAACAAGAGCGTGCAGAACAGCCAGAGCCCTGAGCGGATGGTCTTCTCCCATCTCTGCTCCCTCTCTCTCTTCTCATCTCCCGTTTCCCTTCTTCCCACCCTGCTGTGGAGTTCCAGGACCGTCTCCTTCTCACAAGCTGAATAATACAGGACTCCCTAACGCCTACCCTCGAAGAATCCTCTCCATCCAGAAATATCAGAGCTTTATGGGCCAAGACCTCCCTCCTTGGAAAACAGCCAGACTTCATAAACAGTGAAATGTGCTTCTTAGTCAACATACAACACGGCTATAAGGCAAAGATCAACGTCAGATAGACATTACGAGGCAAAATAACCTCAGATCCAGAGGTGAGTGTGGATAAAGCCACATAGTCAGGGCTTTCCTGGTGGCTCAGTGGTAAAGAATCCGCCTGCCAATGCAGGAGACCCAGCTTCGATCCCTGGGTCAGGAAGATCCCGTGGAGGAGGGCACGGCAACCCGCTCCAGGATTCTTGCCTGGAGAACCCCACGGACAGAGGAGCCTGGCGGGCTGCAGGCCATGGGGTCACCAAAGAGTCGGACACGACTTAGCAACTAAACAGCGGCTACAGATGCCGTAGTCGCGGCTCACAGGCCGGAAACCGTCTGTACAGACACGAAAACTGAGAGCCAGAGAGAGGCGGAGCATCAGAGGCAAAGTGGTCACTAACAGAAATTTCATGCGGGACTCCCCTGGTGGTCCAGTGGTTAGCAAGACATCGCCTTCCAATGCAGGGGGCGTGGGTTCCATCCCTGGTCAAGGACCTAAGGTCTCAAAGGCCTCCAGGCCAAAAAGCCAAAACATAAGACAATATCGTAACAAATTCCACAGATTTTAAAAATGATCCACATCCAAAAAAAAAATTTCTTTAAGAAAATTTCATGGAGCATCTTGGAAAAAGCCAGTATATTTCAGGGCTCTGCTTCGATCATTTCTTTTAAGTCTCATCACCCCTCTGAGACGGGTGGATCCCATTAGAATCCAGAGTGACTCCATGTGCCCAGGACGTGCCTAGTTTTACCTTAAAACTCTCTTACCCAGTGAACCCCTTCAAGTCCTGGGCCAACCAGGACGATCGGCCATCCCATTATAATTGCACTTTTATGAGAAAACCAAGACCTAGAGAGATGGGGTAAGTTACCCAAGAGCTGGGTCCATGTCTTTCCCTGATGGCCCATCGTTCTCAGGATAAAGCCCGAGGTCTTTAAAATGACCCACAGGGCCGGGCATCATCTAACTCTGGACGTTCTTGTCCCCTCAGTCATCTTCTCCTGCCTTGTCCCCTCGGCAGGTCTCTCTCCATCCTTCGGAAGCTCCAGGCTCCTCCCCACCCAGGACTGTCCCACCACCGGGAGCGCGTGTCTCTCTCTCTCTCTCCCCTTCAAAGGTCTTCACGGGCTAACCCCTCCTCATCTTTCAGGTGTCAGACTCAGTGACAGTTCCTCCAAGACGCCTTCCCTGGCACCCCCACCAGGTCAGCAAACGCCGCCCCCCGGAGCAAGTTCCGGCCGTGCCCAGAAACCCTGGCCCTGCCCCGGATGGGTTTCTGACTCCCGCGGCCGCCTCCCTGGCCTCCGCGTGCTCGCGTTCCCCGAGAGTAAGACGCTTGTCCGGCTCGCTTTCTGTGTAGCCTGCACGCCTTGCACACACCAGAGCCTCCTCCAGTGCTAGTTAGAGAGAGAAAGGGAAGGACCGCGCCTCCACCGGCCTCCTGGCCCATGGCGCGTTGCCTCTGTCTCCTCTGACTGGTCAGGGAGTCTCGTTTTGCCGTGTCCTTATTTCCCGGTGTCTTGACGCTCATCTCTGTCTTCCCTCTGCACCTCCGTGGGAACCTGGCTGCTTGCACCCTCGCCTCCAGACAGGACAGAGGAAGAAAGTAAGTGCTTTTTCAATCCCGAGTCTGTGTCCTTGAGATGACATTCCCGTAACCGTCTCCGGAATCACAGCCTGTTGTTCAGTTGCTCCATCCTGTCAGACTGTTTTGTGACCCCTGTGGACTGCAGCCCGCCAGGCTCCTCTGTCCCTGGGATTTCCTCATTAAAAATTCAGGGGAGGGGGATTCCCCGGTGCTCCAGGGGTTAGAACTCTGCATTGGGTTTCAGCCCTGCTTGGGGAACTAAGACCCTGCATGTCCCCCAGTGTAGCCGAAAACCAAACGAAACAAGCTGCGATGGAAAGAAACAGCGGGGGTTGGTGGTGGGGGGAGTGTTGGTGCAGGCCCTGGCATTTCATATTGTCTTGGGGTCAAAAGCAAAACTGTTACAGATAGGGTGCAGTCAGGCTGTGCTTGTAACATTTCACAGCCATTTCTGTGGGGAGAGGGTCTGCAGGGGAGCCCTAGTTTGCAAGGACTGCCAATTTCTGTGGTGTAAATGCTTTAGCTCTGGGCTGATCCGAAGCCACTAATTAGGCTTGGCAGTGGCCTGCAAAAGTTCTGCAAATTTAACAACCATCTCTTGCAAGCCAGCTCCAGCACAGCCCCGGGTCTCAGGGATATTGCTTTCCTTTGGTGTATAAATTGCTCCCACCAAAAAGGGCCTACCTTCCAGAAGAAACAGTTTGCTGGTTCTTGGGAGAGAAAGTGGGCCATTCTCTGGCGAGAGAGCGGGGGACACATTCTAAGGAAGACAGACGTATGCCCCCAGGTCAGGCGAGCTGGCGAAGCACCTCTGTCTCCCATCTCTATTGCACCTCCAGGGCAGACTCTTGTCCACCTGTCACACCCATGACCTTGAAGCCTGTCTAACACACACGGGCCGCACCACTACTCCTGAAGCATAAGAGAGCTCCCTTCTATGGCTGATGGATGCAATTTTTGCTAATGGGAAGGGGTGGAAGAGAACCAGCATTGGAGCATCTACCTCTATGATACCACTGAATCCTCACGTGGCACTCTGTGCCAGATGGAACCCCAGTTTTAAGGCATGGCTCCCCAAACTGAGGCTTCCCTGGTGGCTCAGTGGTCAAGAACCCGCCTGCCAGTGCAGGAGATGTGGGTTCAGTCCCTGGGTTGGGAAGATCCCCTGGAGGAGGAAAGGGCAACCCCCTCTGGTGCTATTTTTGCAGTGTTTTTGTGAGTCTATAATTAGCTCACAATAAAAGCTTACAAATAACTTTAAGAATGTTTAATGGGTGAACAAAGGAATGTGCTGGTGGGGGGTGGTGTGTATTTGATCCTACTCTCTTGCTCTCTTTTTTCCATGTTGACCCCCTCATTTCTGGTCCTGCTGCACCTTCCAGTAAAAAGTGAGTTATTCTTCCTTTTCTCTGGTAATTCGGGTGTTTTCAGACGCTGAGACCAAGAAGTAAACAAGAAAGAGAAGGGAATCTTTGGATTGTTCTCACCTGGGGACCTGGGTTGAGAGAGACCCTCTGCTAACAGGGTCTCCATCTGTCACTCTTGACCCTGAAGGGGGCTCAGACTGACCCGCCAGGGTCCACAAGCGCCCTGAGACCGCACGGATAAGCCCCAGAGTTTGTGGTTTGCTGGGGTGGGTCTGAGGCTGTGTGTATGACTGTGTGTGTGAGCGCACGGCCATCAAGGCCTCCAGATTTCATCAGAAGCCGAGGACCACAGCCCCAGCACGCGGGGATGTACTGAGTTGCGTGTTTTTGCTGAGAGGACAGTTGAATGAGGAGGAGCTCGGAGCCACGGCTCCCTGTTTGCTCCTCCCTCCTGGCCTTCCCCCCTCCTGACCTCTCAGGAGAGAAAGGAGATAAAAGTGGGTCGGGGGATCTTCTTCGGAGGAGCTTCCTCATCTCTGGGGGACCAACGCTCGAGGGAAACAGGTGTCTGGGGAGTCTGTCCACCGGGATAAACAGGGCTCCAAAGGAGGCAAGTGTAGTGGAAGCAGGCAGAGTCCCCACCCTGGCCCCCGGCCAGCCCATGAGATCTGGGGGCCCCTGCATCCCACCGCAATGGGAGGGTGTCTCTGGAGGACCAGCAGGGTGGGATGAGCTGGGAAGAAGCCAGTCACACTTCTCATCCTCTCCCTTTTCTGTTGATGCCCAACGGCTCCCGCTGGAATTTCTCCTCCCCACCGCCGGCACCTCGGCAGTCCTGAAACGTGAGTTTCTTTTTTCACATTGTCCCCGCGTCTGTCTTGTTCCCTTTCTTATCTCTGTGATGAGGTCCCTTCCCAGACACAGCCTCACCGATCACAGAATCTTTCTTTCTTTTTTTATTAATCCGGGGACTGGAAAAAAATGGCTGTATGACTTTCACTTTCTAAAAGGGGGGTGTTTATGGGACCCAAGCTCCTGGTCAAATCAGGGATATGGGCAACGTTCTTACAATGATGGTGATGACTGTAAGGAAAATTCATTCAGGGTTTCCTGGGCGCCGCGCACGTTTAATATATTTTGTTGCGTTTCCCGGTCCAGGTAGGCATTATTCATCTGAAGTGTCTAAGGTGCCTACAACATGGGGACGGCAAATATGTGGAGCAGGCGTAGGGGATGCCTTTCCAGCCTGACTCTGATCCAGCGCCAGTTCCTTAAGCCCCTGGCTGTTGTTTAGTCGTTCAGTCGCGCCCGACTCTGCGACCCCATGGACTGTAGCCCGCCAGGCCCCTCTGTTCATGGGATCCTCCAGGCAAGAGCACTGGAGGGGGCTGCCATTCCCTTTCCCGGGGGATCTTCCTGACGCTGGGATAGAACCCGAGTCTCCTGCATTGGCAGGCGGATTCTCTACGGCTGAGCCACCAGGAGAACCCTTCAGCCACTACATTTCTGCTCTAACCCACATGGTGGGGCTCCCAACCATCTCCCCTTCGCAGCTCAGCATCGTCTGCCTGGGCTCTGTTCTCGTTTGCTCCCAGTGTCCGCATCCTCTGATCTTATGACTTTTTTTCTTTTTCTTTTTCCTTCTATGGTTTATCTCTCACGGCCCCTTGGACTCAACGCTCTGCACTTTGTCTGCAACCCTGAACTCTGTCCTACCTCCCGGACCACATTTTCCTCTGGATGGATGACATCAGAGATCCTCGGTAAAGAATCTCACTCCATGCGTGCCCCGAGACTTTGGCATGGGAAGTTTGTTTGGGAAAAGAAAATTCTTTTTTACAAAAAGATTTATTTGTAGCTGTGCTGGGTCTTCGTGGCTATGCGCGGCTTTCGCTAATTGAGGGGAGTGGAGGCGACTCTAGCTGCGGTCTTGGGCTTCTGCTTGCGGTGGTCTTCTCGTGTTGTGGAGCAGGAACTCCAGGGCGTGGCTCAGTAGCTGTGGTTCCCGGGCTTCCGAACACAGGCTCCACAGTGGTGGTACTTAGGTGCTCCAAGGCATGTGGGATCTTCCTGGACCGGAGATCTTGGGTCTCTCCCACATTAGCAGGCGGATTCTTTACCACTGAGCCACCAAGGAAGCCCGGGAAGAATGTTCTTTTTAACTCTCCGTACGGGATAGGACCGTGCAGGGCAGTGGAAACTCAAAGATGAACCTCACGTGCTTGTACCTCTAGATAAACCCCACACAGACTGATGAGGGGACAGGCAGATAGTTTTAAGGCAATATGAACGTCCCGAGGGAGAAGCAATGAGAAGACAGGAGAGGCAGCTCAGCGTGAGTTAGTTGCATGTTGTTGGTCTAAGGGCACTTAGGCTGCCTTTGGCAATTCCATGTCTACATTGTCTCCACAGGCTTGCTGAGCCTCCAGGTGCTGAATGGTAAGTAGTGACCATGCTAATTGGCTTATCAGCTTTTCTTTTTTAATGTTGGAAGAGTCTTTAAATGGCATCAAACCTTACATTCTTGGGTTTTGTTTTAAATTTCTTTTTCAGTTTTTAATTGAAATCTTACACCCTTTATCATCATCATCATCACATGATGAGTGTCTTTTTTTTTTCGTTAATCCAACGACAGATACTAATTAATATTAGCTGCTCTGTGTTCAGTCCTGTTCTAGATGTTAGGGATACAGTAGGGAACAGTTCAGAAATCTGCGTCCAAATAGAGCTGATGAGAAGAGGAAGAATGCGAATAAATAGAGAAGTAGTGGGTTAGAAGCCTGTTGGATGCTAAGCCCTGTGCAGATCACAGAGGAAGGGAGATGGGAAGGCAGGATAGGAGAGAGGGACGCGTTTTTAAAAGGTGATCAGGGAAAGTGACTTTGACAAAGACTTGGAGGAGGTGAGGGAGCCAGTCATGAGCACTTGTGGGTGAAGGGTGGCAGAGGGGACAGCGGGTGACAGGCCACGAGGCCGCGCAGTCCCTGAGACCAGGGACTGTGGGTGGCTGGGCGCGTTCTCGGCGCTCCTTATCTGGGGCGCCCAGAACCGCTCTTGACGGTTTGTATTCATTTCAGAATTTGTTGATGATTTCCTTTCTTCCTTTTCCCCCCTCCTCTTCCTTCCTTCCCTTCCTTCTTTGCCTCTTTCTCTTCCTCGTTTTAGAAGAATCAAGCGACTGCAAGGAAGAAGGTAGGTGCATGGCATCACGCCTGTTCCCATCGAACAGGCCTGCGAGTTCCCTTGGTCTGTGTTAAGACAAAGCCTTAAGGAGACACAATTTCAGGTGCCCAAGGTCAGGGTTTCAGAACCTGAGAGGATGTCCTCCTGAGGGGCAGCCAAAGCCTATAGACCACCCCAACCCCGTGTACTGCCCACGGGTACCAAGGAGGCCGAGCACAATGAGGTGTGACTGGGAAACGTCTTGGTTTTTCTCGGTCGCTTCTTCTGTCGATCGCTGAGGTCTAAAAAGGTTCCTAGAGGTGAAGAAGGACATTGAAACTGATCCCAGCACTGCCAAATAAAGAATTCTTAAAAAAAAGATTTGCATACATTTCAAAGGGACAGCTAAAGATGCCGAATACTTGATTCTTTCAAATTGTGCTGGAGGAGATTCTTGAGAGTCCCTTGGGCTGGAAGGAGATCAAACGAGTCCATCCTAAAGGAAATCAATCCTGAATGTTCATCGGAAGGACTGATGCTGAAGGTGAAGCTCCAATACTCCAAGCCACCTGATGCAAAGACTCATTGGAAAAGACCTTGATGCTGGGAAAGATTGAGGGCAGAAGTGGGAGGCACAGGATGAGATGGTTGGATGGCATCACTGACTCAATGGACTAGAGTTTGAGCAAACTCTGGGAGATAGTGAAGGACAAGGAAGCCTGGTGTGCTGCAGACCATGGGGTCACAAAGAGTCGGACACAACTCAGCAACTGAACAACAATGAAAGGACAGAGAAAGGCATTACAACCACAAAGTAAATTCTCTAAGAAAAGGGGAGGGGGTCTGCCTTTCTGAAATTTTAACAAGGAGCTTCTTTTTTCTTTTTTCCCTTTACACTGGTAATGTTCTGGTTTTTGACTGGAGGGCCTGTTTAATGAGGTGAGTTATATGTGTCAAAAATGCAGAAACAGCCTAGCTAAAACCACAAGATCAGTAAAATAGTACTAAGGGAGAGTTTATTGTGCAAAGAATAGTTCTTAACCTGGGAGCTTTCAAATTCAAAACTGATATGAGATGCAGGAACAGGGTGTTCCTCACAGGGTAGCTTATAACGTGAAATTGAGGAAATTGTTTATATTTCAAAATGATGGTTAATACAATGAGGTTTCCTGAGGGCACAATGGTTGGTTAAAAGGGGACTATCTTCAACCATTTTGGGGAAGATGACTTAAATTCCTATCATGATTATCAGAGACATTTAAAAGAAATGATTTAAATTTTACTTATGTTCCTGAAAGAAGCAAGATTTAATTTAACATCCATGACTCACGTGGGTTCCTCCACTCTAGGGATTTTCAAGTGTCATCTCCTTTTTAAAAAATATCTTATTAGTATTAGGGTTTTTTTGTATGTAATATTAAAATGTAATGTAACACTTTCTTTAAAATTTAAAATGTGAAAAGAAGAGGGAAAGAATATTGAGCAAGTAAAACTGGGCTTGTGCCCCAGATGGAGTGTGGAATGAGGAGGTGACAGGGTCAGATCTGGTGTTAGATCTCTGTGGCCCCCAGTGGGAGCTGGTCTGGGTGAGAGGAGTGTGGAGTAGAAGGCTGGCGCAATGGCAATCAGAAGGAGATGTGAGACTGGTGCCTTGCAGATGGAGAGGGGAGGTGAGGGCACCCAGTAGCAATGGACCACATTTCAATCCCAGAAGCAGGTGGATTGAGGGTGTGGGGTTCAGAGGGAGATCTGTGTGGACAGAGTTGTGGGAAAGACAGGATGTCCACACGGGGCGGCAAGCCTTCACGTTGTCATGTCCACTTGGATCTCCCCAGTAAAGTTCCTCCCAACGGCCACTACCCCCAAGAAGCCGCTGAAGCAGAAAACCAGATGGAATGGGCTGAGATGTGCCTACATGATGGTCACCTTCTTGTTCGTGTCCTACAATAAAGGAGACTGGGTAGGAGGAGCCGGGTTCCTAAAGGTGGAGAGGGAGGAGGAGAGCGTGGGAGCACGGAGGAAGGGAGGGAGGAGCCGGGTACCTCGTGGGGGAGGAGGGGGGTGAACAGATGGAGGGAGGAGGGGGTGGGGGGAGCGCAGAGGAAGGGGAGGAGGAGCCGGGTATCCAAGGGCTGGGCAGGATGTCGGGACGGCAGTGAAGATGGGGAGCGCCTTGCTGCACTTAGAAGGAGCAGTGCTAAGGGATTTGGGGTGAGAGACGGGGAATACGGAAGGGCCGAGGCGATGAGCCCCAGCCTTGCGCCCTTGCTTAGATGAGTGGTTCTTCGATGAGGGTGACTTTGCCACCCAGGGGACACTCAGCAGTGCCTGCAGACATTTTTGGTGGTCACGTCTGGGGGAGGAGATGCCGCTGGCATCTGGTGGGTGGAGGCTGGGCACGTGGCTTCCATAGGACAGTGCCCACAACGAAGGCTGAGCCGGGTCAAAGTGGCAGGGGTGCTGAGGTTGAGAAACCCCAGGTTAGAGCACTGTGTTGTTTACTGGGATGGAGTGAACTGGCTGGAGGATGGGGCAGTAAGAGGGGAGGCTGAATAGATCAACCGGATCACGGATGTCACCCCCCACCGCGGGGCGGGGAAAGGGAGGCAGGCAGGAAAGAAGAAAGGAGGCATGGGGAGGGATGGAGGGAGAGTGGTAGAGTTGTCTCACCAATACCGTTTCTTTCTGCTTCCGGTTCCCCCTCTTCTTCCACCTCCCCAGTGTTACTGCCATTACTGTAACCCAGAGGTGGACAATAGGTATGTCCCGCGGGGAGAGGGTTTGTCCACTGCCGGGTGGGGTGGGGGCTTGGTTCGAGTTCCCCAGGTGGGTTTGGAAATGCCAACTGTAGAATCACAGAGTTGAATGGAAAGTTTCAAGTTCATCTCCCTAATCTCAAGCCACAGCTTACCAATGATAAGGATGTGGAGAGCAGAAAGAATTCATTTGTGAATTCCCTCAAAGGTTATGTGGGATTTTTTTTTTTTAAAGGTGTGGCAGAATACACATAAAATAAAATTTACCATGAGTGACGTTTCATATACTCACCATGTTGTGCAGCCCTCATGGCAATCTAGCTCCAAAAACTTTTCATCATCCCTAAAGGAACCTCTGCAACCATAAACAGTGTCTCCTCCCAGGCCCTGGCAACCACTAATCATCTCTCTCTCTCCATCTCTGGATTTACCTATTCTGGACATTTCGTATACACGGACTCATATACCATGTGGCCTTTTGTGTCTGGCTTCATTCACTTAGCGTGTTTTCAAAGGCCATCAGGGCTATAGCGTGTATCAGGACTTCATTATTTTTCAGGACTGAATAGTATTCCATTGCACGGATATGTGCCTGTTTATTCATTCTTCAGTTGAAGGATATTTGAGCTGTCTCCACCTTGTGGCTATTGATATGCTGCTAAGAACAACTGACACATACAATTTTTCCTTGAACACCTGTTTCCAGTCCCTTGGGGGTACACACCTAGGCGTAGACAGTCTGGGTCATGTGATAATTCTATGATTAACGTATTGAGAAATACAGTCAGTACATTTTTATCAAGTAACTGCACTATGATGAATTCTGGATTCACTAAAAACAGTTAAATGGTGAATTTTATGTCATGTGAATTTTACCTTGATTTTTCAAAACTATAAAAACAGGTGCGAGCTGGAGTCATGCCCTGGGGCTGTAGTTTTCAGACCCCCTGCAGCAGACTGTGACCCCCTTTGGGAGCAATGAGATGCTCGACCTATCCCCCGGAGCCCAGAGCAAGCCTTATATATTCACCCCCTGCACCAACCCTAGGTGACCCCAGTGTGCTAGGCTAGGGGTGCAGCAGGGGCGGTCCTTGTGCTCTTGAGGCATGCCCCTAGTGGGAGGGCAGGGAATAAATCACCTGAGCTTCCTCCAGGTGCTGTGACAGACAGGAACTGGAGGGGGTAGCTTTTTCCACTGAGGGTTCAGAAGAACCTCTCTCTGAAGAGAAGATATTCTCATGGTGAGATGGCCCGGAGCAGCCGGCTGAGACTTAGGGAAGCGTGTCCAGTGGGTCGGAGGGGCAAGGTGGGCAGAGTCCATAGAGCAGAGAGCCATCCAGGATGTAAACCAATGCTCAAATACATTTCCCTCTTCTTTCTTCCCTTCCTTAGAAACAACCCCTGCTGTGCCTTCTAACTGCCCTTCTCCATCTCAGCTCAACTCTCACGAGTCCTCCATCTCCCAGCTGGTCGGTCTGGCCTCTGGGGAAACCTCCGTGTTCCTAGACTGCCGATTTGGAGGGTAATGCGTCAAGTCCTTTGAGGGATAGCACCTGTCTGCCCAGAGGCATGGCCAGAAGGTCTCTGTGAGCAGAAGCACTGAGAGAAGCTGAGTGAGCGTCTGCAGTGGTCTCCTCCACAACTCCTCTTTAGCCTTTTTCAGCCCTTCCCCAATGTTTCTGTAATAAAAGGTACACGTGCTGAATGACTGAATGCCTGCTTCTTCATCGAGACTTAGGTGTGTGGGGTGGCAGTGGAAGTCGCTCAGTCGTGTCCGACTCTTTGTGACCCCATGGATTGTAGCCCGCCAGGCTCCTCTGTCCATGGGATTTCCAGGCAAGGATACGGGAGTAGGTTGCCATTTCCTTTCTCCAGGAGATCTTCCTGACCCAGGGATCGAAGCCAGGTTCCCGCATCGCAGGCAGATTCTTTACCATCTGAGCCACCAGAGAAGCTAAGGACCCTATCTATCGCATAATTCTAGCAGCAACCCTTGAAGGAGGCTCTACCGTGCTGCCTGCCTTGCAAGTGGAGAATACAGAAGATAACTCCTTTCCATGTCTCAGCGCTGCCCTTCACTGGACGGCAACTCTGTTGAGGTTACTGTCTTTTCACTGCCGCCTTTTACTCTCTATAAAAGCGGGGTACTAATAGTGCAGGAGACGCCTAACCACCTTGATGAGGACCAGTTGTGTCGTTCACCTAGAAGTTGGTTAAAACGGGCAGTGAGGGGCATCCCTGGTGGCACAGTGGATAAGAATCTGCCTGCCAATGCTAGGGACATGGGTTCCACCCCTGGTCCGGGGAGATTCCACATGCTATGGGGTAACTAAGCTGGTGGGCCAACTACCAAGCTCAAGCGCTAGAGCCAGCGTCCTGCAACTACTGAGGCCCGCTCGCCTAGAACCTGCGCTAGGAATCAAGAAAAGCCATCGCACTGAGAAGCCCGTGGACCATGAGGAAGAGGAGCTGCTGCATGTCACAACTAGAGAAAGCCTTCAGGAAGCAGCGAAGACCCAGCGCAACCGGAAAACCTTTTATTCAAAAAAAATAAAAAGCACAATGAAAAATACTCTGAAATCTGTAACTGTACACACATTTGCCAACATTTTCCTATAGCACCAGAGGTTTTGTTCTGTTTTTAGTTTGGGCCTATGGAGAGGGAAACGGCTCCCGACTCCAGTGTTCTTGCCTGGAGCATCCCATGGGCAGACGAGCCTGGTGGGCTACAGTCCATGGGGTCGCAAAGAATCAGACGCGACTGAGTGACTAACACTTTTTTTCTTTAGTTTGGGTCTAAGGACCTATATGTGCCAGTCTGTTCCTTAAATGGGGAGCAACACTCTTATACAGCAATGTGAGGTAGGTGGAGGCCAGGGAAGACGCTCCACCCCCTACAGTGGACAGGACGGCCTCCAGACACAAATGCCAATGACGCTGAGGCTGAGAAAAGCAGGTCCACTTTCTGAGACCCCTCGCTCAAAACATCCATTCCCCCTGTTCGATCCCTGCTGTCTCCATGGCAAATGGCACTTAACAACGGGCATTTAATAAAGAACCACTAGATGAGTAAATGAATGCCCAGGGATGCCAGGGGGATGCGGGGGTGCTCCTGAGACCCTTCAGTGGCCTAGCTCTCAAGAAGACAGGTCTGAAGTGGGAAGTCTTGTGTTTCTCACCAAACTGGAAGCAAAAAATAATAGTAAATAAACAAAAAAGAGTGAATGAATCCAGCAAAGTGTCTGAGAACTTACTAGGAAGCAGGCACCCAGGCACAGTCATTTATTATTGATTATTTCAATAACAGAGCTTCGCCAACACCAGGCGGGAAGCTCAGAATTGCCCAGTTCAGTGACTGAACTGAACTGAACTGACAGTCTCCAGACAAGAAAAGTTTAACCTCTTGGTTACATCACCTACCATTTCCAGTTCAGTATTTGTGACAGACTGGCAGTAGTAACAGACACAGAAGAAGTTCAAATGATGTCTTGAGGCCATATTTATAAATCTGATCTGGACTTCAGTCAGTTCAGTTGCTCTGACTCTTTGCAACCCCATGAATTGCAGCACCCCAGGCCTCCCTGTCCATCACCAGCTCCCGGAGTTTACCCAAACTCATGTCCATTGAGTCGGTGATGCCATCCAACCATCTCATCCTCTGTCATCCCCTTCTCTTCCCACTTTCAATCCTTCCCAGCATCAGGGTCTTTTCAAATGAGTCAGCTCTTTGCAAAAGGTGGCCAAAGTATTGGAGTTGCAGCTTCAGCATCAGTCCTTCCAATGAACACCCAGGACTGATCTCCTTCAGGATGGACTGGTTGGATCTCCTTGCAGTCCAAGGGACTCTCAAGAGTCTTCTCCAACACCACAGTTCAAAAGCATCAATTCTTCAGCACTCAGCTTTCTTTGTAGTCCAACTCTCACATCCATACATGACTGCTGGAAAAATCACAGCCTTGATTAGACGGACCTTTATTGGAAAAGTAATGTCTCTGCTTTTTAACATGCTGTCTAGGTTGGTCATAACTTTCCTTCCAAGGAGGAAGCATCTTTTAATTTCATGGCTGCAGTCACCATTTTCAGTGGTTTTGGAGCCCCCAAAAATAAAGTCTGCTACTCTTTCCACCGTTTCCCCATCTATTTGCCATGAAGTGATGGGACCAGATGTCATGATCTTAGTTTTCTGAATATTGAGCTTTAAGCCAAACTTTTCACTCTCCTCTTTCACTTTCATCAAGAAGCTCTTAGTTCTTCTTCACTTTCTGCAATAAGGGTGGTGTCATCTGCATATCTGAGGTTATTGCTATTTCTCCCAGCAATCTTGATTCCAGCTTGTGCTTCATCCAGTCCAGCATTTCCCAGGATGTACTCTGCATAGAAGTTAAATAAGCAGGGTGACAATATACAGCCTTGACGTACTTCTTTTTCTATTTGGAACCAGTCTGTTGTTCCACGTCCAGTTTTAACTGTTGCTTCCTGACCTGCATACAGGTTTCTCAAGAGGCAGGTCAGGTGGTCTGGTATTCCCACCTCTTTCAGAATTTTCCAGTTTATTGTGATCTACACAGTCAAAGCCTTTGGCATAGTCAACAAAGCAGAAATAGATGTTTTTCTGGAGCTCTCTTGCTTTTTCGATGATCCAGTGGATGTTGGCAATTTGATCTCTGGTTCCTCTACCTTTTCTAAAACCAGCTTGAACATCTGCAAGTTCACAGTTCGTGTATTGCTGAAGCCTGCCTTGCAGAATCTTGAGCATTACTTTACCAGTGTGTGAGACGAGTGCAATTGTGCAGTAGATCTGGACCTACTGTTTTGTATTTGTCAGGAATCAAATACAAATGATTGTGTCAGGAATACAAATACAAATGGGGACTGGAAAAGTCTGTTCACAGTGGCCCGGAGTGAAGCCTTTGATAAAATTTACCAAGAGAAGATGGCTGGGCTTCCTCAAGCCCTATTCCCATGGGAATGGTGGCCTCATATCCCTGGATTAGATGTAAATGCTGAATATCCTGATGTTCTGGTGTTCGAGCATGCTCATAGAAAGCAAACTTTAATCCCACAGTTCAGTTACACACTTCATTGAAAATAACCGTGTTCCAAGAATACTATTTCATACTAGGTGGAAGTCATATACAATTAAAGCTTCAGTGCCAGAAATGAAATTTTAATGTAATACATACACACACCCACTACACATGCATACACAAAAAAAGAAAACCATGTTCCTTATTAACTGTAAGCTACTGCTGCTTCAAAAAGTTACATGGTATTTCAAACACACAGAATAAGAGGGAAAAAAACCCAGTATTTAAAAATTCATGTGAGTTCTGATTTGTTAAGAAATAAAAGTAAAAGTTTTCCAGGTGGTCTAGTGGGTAAGAATGGGCCTGGAAATGCAGGGAACACGGGTGGGATCCTTGATGGGGGAAGATTCCACATGCCCTTGGGCAACAAATCCTGTGCGCCACACACACCTACTGAGCCCACACTCGGGAGCTCGGTGAAGCACTTCTAAAACACTAGTATGTGTACTTGGCAGCGGGGATCATGATGATCAGCTTGCGCACAGTTCTCTGATTGGCTGACGGTGACACAGCAGGGCCGTGTCACACGGGTCAATATTATCAGGCCTTAAGTTGCAGGAGCCCTGGGGCTATGTGCTCACCTTCATGAAGTATTAATAGCTTGTCCATTTGGCGGGAGAGAGGGGTTCACAGCTGCAAAACAACTCGGCAAATGTGCATCAACTACCATCTGCTACTTGAGAGGGGAGCTGCAGCAGAGGCCGTGGGGGAAGGCCTGGCCCTCCACCATGGGGTTCTGCTTGGTTACGCTTCCAGAAAGCGCACACACTATCTGTGGGTTCTCCCTGACTCACAAACAAACTCACAACGACAAAAACCAGGATGGACAGAGTCAGTATTTTAACCTCTGCAGGCCAATGTCTGTGGCCGCTACTCAGCTGTGCATTGGCCAAAGGCAGCCACACATGACAGGTGGGGGTGCACAGGCACACACATTCAAAATTAGTTTCCAAAAATAGAAGTGAGACATGAACATGAAGTCACTCAGTCGTGTCCAACTCTTTGCGACCCCCATGGACTGTATAGCCTACCAGGTTCCTCCGTCCATGGGATTTTCCAGGCCAAGAATACTGGAGTGGGTTGCCTTGCCCTCCTCCAGGGGATCTTCCCGACCCAGGGATCCAACCACAGTACCCTGCATTGGCAGGCGGATTCTTCACCACTGAGCCACCAGGGAAGCAGTTCAGTTCAGTTGCTCAGTCGTGTCCGACTCTTTGCGACCCCATGAATCACAGCACGCCAGGCCTCCCTGTCCGTCACCAACTCCCGGAGTTCACCCAAACTCATGCCCATCAAGTCGGTGATGCCATCCAGCCATCTCATCCTCTGT